TGCCTACCCTTTTATGTTCTGGAAAATAGCTTACTGCAAAGAAGCACCTTCTCCCTATTATTACTCATGGATGCCCTTCTTGTTTACTTACGACAAAGACAGACACAGACCTTCCGCATTTTTATTTTTTGCCTCATAAAATGATCGTTGAACTGCTTGTTCCCACTGATCGCTCAGAACAAAATGCTTGTTAACCAAACTTTGTATAAGATTCTCTCCTTTCTCCAGGCTCCTCCCTGATCTTTGACCCACTCAGCCTGAGCCAGCACACAACAGCTCCGAAGGCCAGGCCAGCTTCAGGGAAAAACATTCTCTGATCTGCTTTGCTATCATGCCACCCTTTCATCCACTCCCTCCACCTGGTTCTTTCTACCTTTGTTTACTCCTCTCTATAAAAGAAAACTCCTTTTGGTTCAGCTTTTGGGACACTGCAGATCTTAGAGGCACAGTGTTCTCTTCATTACAATTGACCCCCCTCCCCTGATTGCAATAGTCTCTTTCTTCCCATGTAATAATCCTTTCAAATAAAGTCTCTCTTTACTAAGTCTGGATTTACTTTTTATTAGACAGGTGTTTATTTTGGGGGAGATGAAAATATTCTAAAATTGACTGTGGTTGCCAACTCTGTAAGTATACTAAAAACCATTGAACTGTACACTTTAAACAGATGAATTATATATTAATAAACTATAGATCAAGAAAGCCAGGATTTTTTTTTGAGCCCTTTTAAAAGCTATTAAAAAAAAGAAAGAAAATGGAAGGAAGAAAAAATAAGTTAGCAAATGAGACAAGAAATAAATAAAAATAACAGCCTCACGAAAGGCAAGAGGGAGAGTCTGGAGGACAGCATTTCTAAATCCTGCAGAGTTCAAATAAAATTAGTGAAGGAGAGATAATTGGTAGCATATGCAGTTTATTAGTGACTTATAAGTGCTCTTTCAGAGAGGAAGTCACCTTTTTGGATAAACTGCAGAAATTTAAGGACTGAATTGAGGGTAAGGGATCCGTAGCAGCAGTTCTAGAAAACAATGGAGTTTGAACTGGAGAAAACAGATGGACCCAAACTTGAGGAAACTTGAGGGTAAAACCATGAAGACTGCAATTTTTGTTTGCTTGTGTGGTTGGTTTTTTGTTTTTGTTTTTGTTTTTGTTTTTGTTTTTGTTTTAGGAAAAGAGAGCAGTGTATATTGAAGGCAAAGGAGGAAGGGAGGTTTTATGGTGTTTTCCTTAATGTATTTTCTTGATGTTTTCTGTGTGTTAGCCTGAATAACTGTTTCCTTGAGACTAAAACTGTTTCCTTGAGTCTAAAACTCTTTGCCCGCAGCAAACTCTCTGCATCCTTTGAATGGTTTCTAGCACCAAATTATGCATAAATTAGCACTTAATAAATAATTTTTATTGTTTTCTGGTTCAGAAAAGCTGCACTATATATTAATGTTTGAAGAAGAAAAGAATTTGTGAGGAAGAGAAATATACAAAAAATTATAGGCACTTTTCATATATGTCAGAGGGACAAGAAAAGTGCCTACAAATCTGGGAAGAAAAGCATTGTTGCTGCCTGTGGCAACTGTAAGCCAGCTGCTGAGGGCTGGTCTTCTGTGTGGGATGGTTTGTATTTCTGTGTGAGGACACATCATTCATCCCAACCATTTATTATTAACAAAATACACTGTCTCCCTAGGATCTCTCCCAGCACAGATCCAGAACTGAATGGAACATATTGCATGCCACACCCCTTAAGCCTTGCTGGATCTTCCTAACTGTAAACTGATGAAAGACTTATGGCAGAAGCAGAATAAGAGATGAGCAATACCTGGCTACCCACCTCTCAGTCCTGCACTTTCACACTTCATGTTGTCACTGCTGGCAGGTGGAGAAAGGTCTGCCCTCCCTCTTCCTTTATACCTAGAGACTCTCCCTCTGTGAATCCTTCCCCACTCTCCCAGGAAGTAGTGGTGACCTTCCCTGAGCTGCTGGAACACCTTCCACTTTGTATCAGAAACTATTTATGCATCTGTCTCTCCTGCTGCGCTATGAATTTCTCAACAGGAAGGACTGGGTTTTATTCCTCCTCCTCGAAGTCTCCAGCTGGCTCATGGTAAGTAGTCACATTTTGTTGAACAAGTGGACAGATGGAGGAATATGATAGAGTGCTATGAAATTCCAGCTGCTGACATGGTTGTGTCCCGGTGTTATTTTTCTGGGCCAAAGGGTTGTTTGTTTCCACCTCTCTATCCCATTTACAGACTCTGCCTCAGCAGCTGAAAGCACACAATGGAACAGTGTGCCTTTCAGCAAATAGAGTGAGCAATGGAAAATGCAAAGTGTCAACCCTGAATGCAAGCAATGGCCTGCCTAATGTAATTCTAAACGAAGGGAAACTGCTTGTTTTCAGTGAAATGGAGTGAAGTCCTGGGAAGGATTGTTCTGCTCAAGCTCTGAATGTCAGTGTTGATAAGCTAGTTCACCAAGGCTCAGCTCGCCCCCTGTTGGATTTAGCTGGCATTTAGTAAGAAGAGGAACAGGAGAGAAATTTGATACAGATTATTTCTTGGATATAGGTATGTAGGGGTAGGGCCCTTTCTGCAAAATTCCATTAAGGAGGCATTAAATGAGTCAGAGATGTAGTCACTAGACTATCCCTGGGACATAATTTGACTCATCCACAGATACTGACATTCCTTTTTGAAGAGTAGAAATACTTTCCTGATGGAAAAGCCAAAATGGCATGGACTTAATTCCTTTTAGCAAGCATGCAACCACAAAAATCAAACCAACTGCTAAAACTCCTTTTCAGCAACCTCCCCCCAGCCCCCGCCCCAAGTGAGGTTTAAATTGTACTCTCTAAATGACCATCAATGGAGAACTGGTTAAATAAGTATAGTACATCTATACATTGGGAAACAAGACAGCTTCATGTACTGATATGGAACAATCTCCTAGATATGTTAATGACCTAAAAAAAAAAAAGCAAAATGTTGAGCAATATATATATTTGATCATATATGCAGAGACTTTCTGTAGAAGATGACACAAGAAAATAGTAACAATTGTCTCCTGGGAGAGAAAATAATTGCTGTAGACAGGATTAGAAAAAACTTCTTTTCATAATATTTCTTTGGTGTGCTATTCACAATTTGTATCTTGTGTATCACCTGTGAAAATAATCTAACCAATTAAAAAATATAAGAACCTTATGAAGGTCCAGTAAGGTTCTCTCCTGTTTCTCTTCTTTTTTTCTAGAAATATTATCAGTCCTCAGTGGAAGCAATTTACACTGCCAAAATAAATTTTCTCTTAAATTCTAAAATAAATTGGCAATGTCAGTTTCAGCACATATATAATTTTATATATTACGTATGACTTACATGATTTTGTATACCAGTTATGATTTTATATTCCAGTTCATTCTACTTGAATCTCAGACAAGAAAGCCACTCATTTCTGAGAAAACAGCTAAGTGTTAGGGGAAATATGTTATCCATCCGATAGTCATTGGGGCTATCCTAGACTATCCCAGACAGTGAGCTCTTCAGCTCCTTTCTGGGTTAGTGGGTTCTTTCACTGGACTGATGGAGCCCCGGGTCCCTATCAAGCAGTTTTCACTGTTCCTAATGATAATGCATGCCATACTAGAACAGGTCTTTTGCCAAGACCATCGTCTACCCAGCTGGGGAAACCCAGGCTTGCTTTCCTAACCAGGGAAAAGGTTTGCAGCTTTTCTGGGGGAAAGGGGGCTGGTGCTGCTCCAGGGAACTCAGCTCCAGTGCTGTGCTAGAGAGCAAAATGGGGGAGCATGGGCAGTCTCTCTTTCCTGGACTTCTCAGCTAAAGGTCCTGCTTGATCCTGCTCCTTGGTATCCAGCATGGTTGAAAATATGTCTGTAGTTAAACCTCGGGTTGACAGGCTCAAGACTAGCACGCATCGGTGGCCATGTCTGCCCAGTGAAAGGTACAGTCATAAGGTGGAAAGCGCTAGAGGAGTCCAGGGACCTGGTTAGAGCGACAAGGCAATGCTGTCCTGCGGGCTGCCAAATGAGGTGGGATTTGACCATCTCTCTAATTGCCGAGCGCTAGTCTCTAGGATCTAGAGAGAAGGGTGCCTACTTAGATCCTGCGCTCTGAAGTTAGTGTCGGGCTAGGCCTCTGGGGCACAGGGAAAGGTGATTTTTAGAGAGAAGTTAGAGGTCGGGGACAAACAGGCTTTACTTTCTATTTCATTGGCCATCTTAATTCTACTTTGTTAGGATAATTCTAAGAGGAGCCTAGAGGAGCTTTGCAGCCTCTCTCCACCACTGTGACCCTCACTTAAAATTCCTCTTCCGCACCCTTCCCCAAACAACCCCTCAAGCTTTTATAACAGCAGTTGGTACTCGGGGGAGAGGGACTTAGAGACCCCTTCGAAAAGAATGTGTAAGCCGTGAATCCTTTCTCTTTCAAAAATTGAACACAGGCAAATACAATACAATATTTCACATACAAGTCCAGGATCTCCTGTTCCACCTGACTCCCCGCCCTAGCACTTAAAAGGCTGAGGTAGGTTTGCGGGTGAGCAGACAAGGAGAGAGGGAAAAGCAGAGCAACACTCTAGGACCTGTTTCCTCTCCAGCTCACATTCCTCCGCCCCGGTCCCGCTCCCGCCGCCTCCGCTGCCAGTGGAGGCCCTGGTCTCCCGCTCCAACTATTCCAACCATCCTGGGAAGGGTGGAGCGCTCGGCTCTTGGGTCCCCCTGGTTGCCCTCCCTTCCTCATCATCGGTCTCCCCTTCTGCCCCGGTCCCTCCCTTTCTGGGGTGGGGCCAGCCAATGGGCAACGAGAGTCCGGGATTTGGCCTCGGAGCCGGGGAGCTCACCGATCCCCCGCCCCACAGTCCTGGCCGAGGTCCCGGGGTGCACGGACGTGGCTCGAGTTTCCTCTGCTCTCCTTTCGTTCTCGATCTGCCCCCTC